TTCAATTGGGGCAGTTAGAGAGCTCCTTGGGACTGGCAGTCCAGCTCAATTTCAAGTGATAGAAAAGCACCCAAGTAAACTCTGGCCTCTCAAAGGGCACCCTGTGAAGTTGGTGGGCATTCATCAATTGGATGGAGGTCTCTAGGGGAGTGCCACAGGGGTCTGTGTTCAGTGCTACGTGATTTAACATGCTTATCAGAGTCTGGGACTCAAGGACAGCTTTAGGTGGAAGAGTACCAGGAAGTAAAATTATCCCAAGATCTGGTCCATAAAAGCACATCCTTCTAGCACCAATATTCTGGGGCAGCTCAACTGTGCGGCAGAATCAGGATGACCTGAGTTCCAAACCAGCTACGGATACTAGGTGCGTCTTGTGGATAGAGCTTCAGCTGGGAAAAGAGGGAGATCCCAAGTTCATGGCTATCGGCAGTCAGGTGACCCAGGGGAAAGCACATTAGACTTTGTATCAAATCGATCTGGCCTGTTAGCAGCACGACCCAGGCCAGTCCCTTCACCTCTTTTACCCTCAGTTTCCTTATCTGTAAAATGATGAGTCTTCAGGGCCTTAGAAGACATGAGATCCAAATTCTCATTTTGCAGATGATGCGCCTGGCGTCACATGGAGAGCTGGAATTGTCATCCAGGTCTTCTGTCCCTAACTCTAGAGTTCTGTATATGCCCCCATACATTCTTTCCCAACAGAATATAAGCTCATTGAGGGCAGAAGCTATTTCATTTATTCCACAAATATCAATTGAGCACCTACTATGTGCCAGGCACTGAGCTAGGCTCTGGGGACACAGAGAAAAAAAAAATGAAACAAACATTGCACTTAGGGAGCATATGTTCCATTGGATGAAAAGAGTAAGAACAAAGATAAACTATTTTTAAATGTATAAAGCAAATACAAGTTAATTTTGGAGCATGAGGGACACTAGCAACCATGGGCCCTGGAGTCACATTTTCGTTTTTCTGTCCCCCACACCTAGCACATGGCCCAGCACGCAGCAGGCCCTCAACCAATGCTTGTTGAAGGAATCCCGCAGGTCTGTGTAGACTGCATTAGTGATGTTTAATTCTAAGAAGCTTAGTCTTCATGGCCACTGATGGTGAATGAATTAATTCAACATCGGTTAAGTGCCTACTGAACGCCAGCTATTGGGCTGGGTTCTGAGGGAGGAGCCTCAAAGGGAAATGTGTCACCATGTGTCACAATCACATGAGGCTATTAGAAAGGGGCAAAATGGGGCAGCTAGGTGGTGCAGGGATAGAGCTCTGGCCTTGGAGTCAGGAGGACCTGAGTTCAAATCTGGCCTCAGACATTTGATACTTACTGGTTGTGTGACCCTGGGCAAGTCACTTAACTCCGATTGCCTCGCCAAAAAAAAAGGTGGGGGGGAGGGCAAAGCAAGGACCACCTGAGGTTTCAGGGGGAAAGATGGGACCACCAGATGCACTAGGAAGGCTTCCTGGAGAAGGGGGCATGCAAACAGGGCTTTGGGGGTGTCTAGCAGACAAAGGTAGAATGAATCTCAGAGGCCACTGAATTTGACAGTGTCATTTTACAGATGGAGAAATTGAGGCCCAGGGAAATCACAGGATCCTGGAGTTAGAGCTGGGAGGGGCTTCAGAGGCCTTCTAGTACAACCCCCTCATTTTACAGATGAGGACACTGAAGCCCGCAGAGTCCAAGTGACTTACTCAAGGTCACACAGGTGGGATTTGAACTGAGGTCATCTGACTCCAACCCCCCCTCCGCCCCGCATCTCTCAAGGAAGGCACACGAGACACAGAGCTCCCCAAGCTCCCCACTAACTACAGCTGCCTGGTCCTGCACACTCACAAACTCACTGCTGCGGCACAGTGGGAACCCGCCCTTGCAGGGAGCCAGGGTCCATCCCAGTCACGCTCGGTAAATGACTTCTGAGATGCTCCAAGCCTCATGGGGGCGGGGATGGGGAAGGAGGAGGAATCATCATCATCCCAAGGGTTCTCTTTCCACGCACAGAACACTGCCACCCAAGAGACTCCAATTATGTGCCTTGAAATCCATGGAGACCGCTCCTGACAGCGGCCCCCGACCTGCTGTTTGTTTCTGGATCCTTGGTTTATGTGAACAACACAGCCCATCCTTGGAAACATCTGGCCAGAGCAGGGCACTGGGTCATGGGACCCAGGGTGCACGTGGCTCAGGCAAAATGGGTTAACAGTAGTGCCCAGTTTATTGGCCAAGGATGCTGGGAAGTTTGCAAGAAGACTCAGGGAACTGGGGCTTCATTTTTTCCCAAGCTAAATGCCAAAGACGACGTGGGGCCCGGCAGGTTTCCGGCTGCTTTCCTCTAGGGGCTCCCAAGACATAAGAGGCAGCTACTGTGGATGTTTGGCCCCAACCACCAGTGAAACGACCCAAGTGAGACAGCTGCCTGAGGGGGCTTGTCCAAAGCCAGGCCTCAGGACCACCAAATACTGATTCATTCTTCCAAAACCTAGCAAAGCACAGGCACATGCTGGTTCATTCAAAGGGAATGAGACACTGACTCTGTGATGGGGCCAGGAGAAACCCTCTGAACCAATGTTTACCAACGTGAAGGAGCTATGAACCCCTGGGGCATTGTGGAGCACTGGATTTGGAGCCAGAGGAATCTGGGTTCAAATCCTGCCTCACTACTGCACTTAGCACAGTACCTGGCACATAGTAAGTGCTTAATAAAGTTGATTGACATCGGGGAAGTTCTCTCAACTCCTTGGGCTTTGATTCCTCACCTGCAGCGTGAAGGGGCTGGAGCAGTAGCCCTCGGAAGGCCCTTTCTGCACTTGATTGATGTCATATTGACCTGGGAGCCCACATTTAGGAGGGAGAATCACAAAAAATACATCACCTTTTAAGTACTAAAACCTCTCCTGCTCCAGGGAGTCCTGCTCAGCCTCTCTTATTTCCAGTGCCTTCACTTAGGTCATATTTCTGACTTCTGTCGAGAGTTCGCCGTGTCTCTATCTATTGGCTAGTCATCTTCCCCAGGCTCAGGGAACCTCTTTCCATGGTGTTTGAAGAATGTATGGGGACATATACAGAGCTCTAGAGTTAGGGACAGAAGACCTGGATGACAATTCCAGCTCTCCATGTGACGCCAGGCGCATCATCTGCAAAATGAGAATTTGGACCTCATGTCTTCTAAGGCCCTGAAGAGTCATCATTTTACAGATGAGGAAACTGAGGGTAAGTCCGTTCTGCACCATAGACAAGAAAGAGGGGTACAAGGTTGTGGGGCCTCAGGGGCCTCCCCACCCAGCATGCCCATTAGACTGTAAGCTCCTGGAGTATGGGCAGGGACTGTCTTTTGCCTCTTTTTGTGTCCCCATCACTCACTGCCTGGCACACAGAAGGCATTTAATAAATGAATATTCTTCAAAGACCCTGTTAGGAGGTACGCTGAGGAAGGAGTCACAGTAGCCTGGAGAAGATGGCTGGAGAAGAAACATCGCTGTGCTCATTTCACAGACGAGGAAAGGAAGTGAATCCCCAGGGTCACCTGATTAGCATCAAAAGGATGTAAGGATCACAGATTTTGGCCAAGAAGGGACTGGTGAGGAAATTGAGGCATGGAGAGGTTAGGTGACTTGTCCAGAGTCACACAAATCAAGTGGCCTATCTTAAACCTGGCTTGCCTTACTCTTCAACCTAGGCTCTTTCTACCACCCGTTCAAAGAGCCCTGGACTTGGAATCAGAACTCCCAAACTCTACTTTCTCACCTGCCAAATGGGGAAAATGACCTGCCTTCCCAGGCAGCTTTGAGGAAAGCCCACAGTGGATGGTAAAATGCTAGAGAAAGCAGCATGGCTGTCTTTTAACAGCAGTATCAACACATTATCATTCTTGTGCTGGAGCCCTTGAGGCCCCTCCCCATCAGACTGATTCCACCTCCGCCACAGGACAAGAGATTCGGTTAAGAGCCAAGACTTTCAGCACCAAGAAAGGATTCAACAGAAAACAAACACCAACACCACCCCCAGTCAGCCCAACCAACAAGCCTCAGTTAACCAGGAAGCCCAGGCTGCCAGAGCCCTCCCCCACCTCCCCCAGCATTCTGGTTAACAAAGGTTTGCCTGTAGGCTGAGGCAGAGGTGCTTAACTGTGGAGAAGGAAAAGTCCCCAAGGGAAATAAGGTCAGAGGCTTCAGCCTAGCCTCCACCAGCAGCCCCCCAGGAAAGGGAGGCACCCTGCTCTGCTCAGAGAACGTGGAAAGATTCATTAACCTCTGGGTCAGGAAAAAAGGAAAAAGGAAACAGGAGCAGTCACAAAGAGAAAGGGGCTGCCTTGGGAGTCGGTGGATGGCCCCTTCCAGCAGTTGCTAGATGAGCACCTGGGAGGGATGCTGGAAAGGGGATTCCCGCTCAGGAGAGGGAAGGTCAGATGGCCTATGCAAAGGTCCCCAGTGGCCCAAGGTTCCTGTCAGGCAGGGCAGGAACCCATGACTGTGGTTCTATACATACAGGAGGTGCTTCCTAAATGCTTTCTGAGTTGCTCCAAACAACATGGGGGAGGGAGGGGAAATACCATCCTCACAAGGCCTGATGCTTAGATATTCTCATCTGATCCTCACAAGGTACATATGAAGGATGCTATTGTCGATGTTTAGACTTTTCAGTCACGTCTGACTCCTTCTCATCCCATTTTCGAGTTTTCTTGGCAAAGATACTGGAGTGATTTGCCATTTCCCTCTCCAGCTCATTTTATAGACGAGAAAACCGAGGCCGACAGGGTGAAGTGACTTGCCCAGGGTCACACGACTAGTTAAGTGTCTGAGGCTGGATGTGAACTCAGGTTATCTTGACTCCAGGCTCAGGGCTCTATCTACTGTGCCACCTAGCTGCCCATTATCATCCTATTATCACCCCCATTTTAAAGATGAGGAAAATGAGGC